CTTTTTAAAAATGGCCTGGGACACGGGACAAATTGTTATAAAGCGTGATTGTCCCACTGAAATCAGGACGTCTGGTCACCTTATGATTGATCTGTGTCAAAGATGATATGCAAGTGTTCACCAACAGCTATTTTTGACACCATGCCCTATCCTTATGTGAAAGCTGTGAAAACTGCCTGGAGCTGTGCACATTTGTGTGGGTTTTGCAGGGTGCCCAGTGTTAGATCGGGTAATGGATAGGCACACACAGGCTAACGGTAACAGCTCTTTATTAAATGCAACAAGTGAGAATCCAGCGAAGGTTGAGTTTGACAGCAGCCCTGTTACAGGGAGCTGTCAGACCCTTTGACCAATGAGATTAAACCTCTGTTCCGACAGGAACAGAGGACCTTGGTGGAAACCACTATAGTTGAAGCAAGTATCTAACACCCAGGCTATAGACAGAGCATTCTCCAAAGCTGCTTCAAGAATGAAAAACTTGTGTATAGGAAGCAGAGACTCTTGAAAGAGAACCCTGCCTGATGGGTAAGGGTGTGTGGCAGATCATGGGGACTGCTGGGCCATGGGGACAATTGCGTCTTTGCCCCAGGCTCATATACCTTGGGTAACAGGGTGAGGTGACCTTTTTGAAGGATGTGGAAACACGCTGTAAGGTAGTGGTAGGCCTGGATCTTGTTATAGTAAGATATCAGCTGGGTAACAAATATAGCATTGGTCGATCTGTGATATCTCAGGGATAGTAAATCTATGGCATGTGTGTCGAAGGTGATGGGCCAGTGTTTGCCAACAGCTGTTTTTGAAAACATGCCCCATTCTTCTGTGACTCTGGGAGACTGTAGAGGCTGTTGTGACAATTGACTGAGGACTGATCCCTCTGGAAGTTGTGCAAGAGGGTTTTGCTCTTGCACAGCCTCCTCTGGAGCTTTTGAAAATCACATGAGAGTGGGGTGTGTGCAATCTGGAACAATTTTAGGTAGGTGGCAGAAAGAGATCACTGCCTGAAGGGAAGGGGTGTGTGGCTGATTGGGGGAATGCTGGGCTTGAGGCGGTGTGGGGGGGAAATTTCACCATTCCCCAGGCTCACATACCTTGTGGAACAGGCTGAGGTGGCCTTTTGTGGGTTTGGGAAACATGCTGTGAGGTGGGGAATAATACCTGGGCTTCTACTTCAGGCCCAGCCTTGGCATTGCTGCTGAATGCCGCTGTTCACAGCGGCCTAGTCGAAAACTGAATTTTTTAGAAAAGTATGATTTCAATGTTGCCATGCTCTCTGGGGAAAAATCTCATCAGATGCCATATTCGTGTTCATTATTTCCATGTCACATATTTCCCTGAGTCCAATACATATTGCGATGTTGAGCTCAGCTGCAGTCTCAGTGCAGTTGATTAGTGCAATAGAAATTTACTGCTGGCTCTGTTAATCTGTTTTGCCAATAAATATGTTATGGTATGTCTGTATGTATCTAATTACACATTCTGGAAATTCTTACCAAATTACTGCCCTGTTCTTATTTTCTAGTCTGTGATTGGGGGCCAAGAATACTTTTACATACAACTTGACTCCATTGTAGATATGGCCTTTATTTCACAAGTTACCAAGTTGCCATTTATCTCTGAAAGTTTCATACATCTCTTCTGCAAACAACTCTCGGTGGAAATTCCATGACAAGTTCTTCAACAATATTTTTTGCACAGCATGCTGCACTCTTTGAGATATGGAAGCTTTGACAAAATACTAATGTCATTTGTTAGATTTTTTTTATTGCCCATTTTATCAAATTCTCCTAAGCCTTTCAGGAATGAAATTCAGAATTTTAAATTATTAAAAAAAAGTTCTGAGTGTAGGTGTGCAAAGAAGCCTTAAGTTCTGAAAAATAATCACCTATTCTATGTGTATTGTCTGTCTCTAAAGCTTGTAGATGTGCTGTTATTATGTTATTTTAATGTTTATTCTCTCTGGTTCTGAGAATGGTCATCATTATATTGCGCAGTTGTGTCAAGTGAATCTACAATTTATTTCCTAATTCCAGAGTTATGATTATTATAAATCAAAAAAGAGAGAGCCAAATTACTACTACGGGGTGCCAGTTAATTTTTGCATAACAGATGCTGCAAAAAACTAAATAGAAAGGCTGCCATATGACAGCAGTTATCAATATTGACAGGAACAGGATGTGGAATGGGCCTCTGACTAGGTAACAAAGGGCAGAAGTATTGAAGTGGTTTGAAGCAAGGCTATATATTCTTTGGACCAGGGGAGTCCAACTTTGAGACCTGAAGATTTCAACTCCAAGAGTTCCCCATGTTGGCAAAGCAAAATTGCCAAGGTTGGAACCTCTGTTGAACATATTTGTTCTAACTTCTAAATTTGTATTAATTTCAGTGGTGTTTCAGCAGGCAGAGATGGACTCAAAATTACATACTGTATCACACTTGTATTAAATATGTGAATTGGAAACATTGCTATCGATGCCAAGGAAATGAAATGGAGTCTAATTTCAGAAGCTCCATTTTGAT